AAATCTAAAACCACAACAACTTCGATCCTTCACCTCCCTATCATCGAGTGCAACTCCAAAAACGAAGCCTTGTTCCGTTGCTGTCCTCACTCCCAAGCCACACACAATGCGCAACAACCCTACCTCCTCGTGTCACAGTTTCACATATCCTCTCACCTCAAAATTGTTTCAAGAGGATCAAGTGGAAAAAGAACAGGAGTTTCAGGTTTCTTCACGCCGATCTGTGTTTATGCACGCCAATCCCGACTTGATCGTGCGATTCGCCGCTACTTCCCGAGGACGACAACCGAAGGAAGAGTGAAATAGGAGTTTCATGTCTCTCTGCGCTGATCCCTAGTGGTTCGATCAAGGAGAGGCGGGAGTTTCGGGTCTCTCTGTGCCGATCCTGACTAATCGATCGGGGAGGAGAGGCGGTTAGGGCTGTGATACCATAATGAATTAATTGGTCTGAAAAATTTTCTTATTTTATTAATGGTTTGGGCTTATATAGAGTCTTACAACATTTACATATAAATCCCTAGACTTCTTTTATAAACAACTAGGACCTTATATTTGATACAAATCTCAATAGTTGCTAATTCTCCATTTCTTAAAATTTCAACAAATTTATGAAGTTGTTTTTTCTTTAGAATGTCTCCTTTTTTTGCATGAACTTTCAATAATATTTATCAAATTAAAGATTATGTTGAAAAGAGATGCTATTTGAACTTAAAGCTTAGTCACATCAACCAATCTTAATTGGAGTTGTTGTGGGAGACCATGCATATTAAGTGCTAAACAACCATCATTTATAATCAAAGTTTTCAAACCATTAAATTCACTGTGCATGTTTGTCCACATAATTGTGCAAGACTTAACCCATCCTTTGCAAAAATTGTCTCATTTATTCGTTTAAGTGTTGAAATAGATATTTCCTTGGCATGTGCAGTCCTAATGATCTATTATGCTTTGCAAAAATTGTTTCAATTATTCGTTTGTTGAAACTGATATTTCCTTTTAGCAAGAAAATAAAGTGCAATACCAACATATTCTTTGACTGATACATCTGGACACATCAAGTAGAATTGCTAACAAGCATTTCTTAATTCATTAATAATAACAATTAAAGTCTCAACAGCTGCTATTTGTGCAATTTCTTTCTATATGTTGGGAGAATTAAATTTGCTATTTCTAGGAGCTTTTTTCAAATATTATTTCTTTATTGCAAACAATTAATAATTTCAATAGTTCCACAAATTTTTTTAATTTATTTTCCGAGTCCTTAGATTCATTATGATCATGAATAACTTAGCCCTGGTGCAAAAAAAAAAAAAAAAGAAGAGGCACAATCAATACTTATAGCTAGTTGTGTTTGATAGTCTCTACGAACTTGATGAGAGGATATGTTGAAAGCAAAGCTAATTGTTGATTTTGATTTATCAAGTCATTGCACTATTTCAAGCAATATTATGAGCACTATTAGTATGACCAACATGAACTCTATATGTATCCTTCTTTTTCAATCTCTCAATCTTTTAATGTCAAAATTATCATCACTTGCTTGTTCTCTTGTGTTTGGTCTATTAAAATAACAAAATAAGCAATAATCGGCATCTTTTATAATACTTTATTCCAAACATTATTTGAATCCATGAAACCATTCTAGAAATGACCATTAAAATTCCAAACGGGATTGGCATGACCCTTTTTGTAAGTAAGCTCTTCATATCATTCATGGTCATTTGGGTGATAATTTTGCTTTTTGTTCTTCATCATGGATTTGTTGCAATGTCATCTAGATTGAGTTCCAAATAAATTCGTTTGGAATTTGTATTGCCCTAACACCGATGTTGAGTTGATCAGCTTCAATTTTTCTTTCAAAGTATATCTCTACATTAAGTTTTTGCTGGGTAAAGATTGTAATGGCTCAAATAATAATTTCACAATGTCTTTCTTTTTCACAAAGATAGTTGTGATTCTTAATAGAAAATATGTAATATATTGTTCATCAAATTGATGGGTTAATATTTTGTTTCATTATAGACCAAAACGTCAGTTTTGAAATCATAAAGTTTATTCTAATTAATATTAAAGGCAATATTTGATTAATATTAAATTTACTATTTTAGGCATATATGTTTCATTAATCATCCAAATTGAGAAAAAAGAGGGATATTTGTGGAGGAGAGAGTGATAAGGCAATATGGTAACAAGCAATGAGTTGGTGACTCGCGGCGCACCAGTAATCAAAGGGGAGAGGGATACTGTGTGTGTGTGTGTGAGAGAGAGAGAGAGTAAGAGAGAGAGAGAGAGAGAGGAGGTCTAATAGATTTGTGTGACTCTTGCTATGAGCACTGCAATAGGAGTGCAAGTGGCTATACGATAAAGGGAAATGGGGGATTGCCTTGTGTTAGCCTGTTATTTTGGTAGAAAATAAAAAGAAAAAACAGATCAAATTCAATGGGCCATGGTAGTCTTGGCGCGAACCTCTAATGACCCATTGTAGCTCTTTTTTGCTGTGTTGATTGTATAAGCATGTTGAGCAGTGGATGGATGGCTGCATTTCTCCAGGCAGCAGTCAAGAGGATGACTGATGCACAAGCAATGAGATTAGGGGAGAAATTACAACCATGTTTGCAGCTAAGCCACCATGTCCGCAATTCCATTGACCGATGAGGTTAGGTTGAAGATCATTCAGGGATAAGCTATTTTTGCTTGCGTTTAATTGTAAGCTATTGATGAATTTTAAGAGAAAATGAATTAGTAATATTTATTATATAAAATTGAAATTTTAAATAAGAATGGTTTATCAAATCCTTAATGGCCCGGAAAGCATTATAATTGCAAACTACATTTAATGATTTTAAGAGTGACCTGTATATTTAGGGCTTCTATGGGATCAATCTTGTTTTTTGGCATTTTTATTTTATTTTTAAAAACATGTTTGTTAAATGTATTTTTACATATTTTTATTTTTTTTTTGTTCTAAAACTAATTTAATATGTTTTTAAAAACACTCAAAACAACTTTTAGATATTTTAAATATTAAAAATAAAACATATCTTAAATAAATATGCTAAACATGTTTTATTTCAAATCAAAATATACATAAAATAAAATAAAAACAAAAAAATGCAAAACAGAAATAAAAGTTATCCGGAATGGCCCCATAATATGTTCCATCTACAGATATCCCTTCCTTGCTTCGGCTTCTTTTGTGGAATTAATTGTGACTTGGTTTTTAATACCAAAAATTTTTAACTTATTAAAAATTAATCTTGTTGGGAATGTTGTCATTTGAAATTGTTGGCATTCCTCATTTGAGAATTTATTTCCTTATCAGACAAAGTGTCGTAAATCCATCACAGAGGCAAAGAGACGAGTATCAAATATGTCAGTGGCTATACCCACACTCACAGAAATTTATCAGGGTTCTTGACCGGGAACCTTTATTAATTTTAATTTTCTTTCTTTAGCATCCCTTCTCCCCTCATGAGAGAGTGTTGCTGATGGTGAGAAAAGTGGTGAAAGGAAGAAGGGGATTGCAGAACTTAATCATTGTGAAATAGTCAAGTTTGGCAGTATTTGCTTACGTCGTTTTCAATATGCTTTGTATTATGTAAGTCATTTCATCACCCATGGCTTCTTGGAGGGCGTATTGCCATATCCTTGAAGGCGTGTCTTAATGAAAACACCAAATGTTGTCGCTAATCTCATTTTGTGCCTTGGAGAACTACATAGAAACTTTGACTAGTAGTGCAATTTTGGAGGATGGGGTGGTGAAAAAGAATGAAAATGACAAACAAGAGCGGAAAATCTTATTCAAACTATTGATAAGATTAGTAGATTCTTAGCTTCACTACATAGATAACTAGAGAAAGAACTGAGCATTGTCGTCTATTGAAGAAAACAGAAATCAAGAATATCATGTAATAGAGGTATGAACAAATTTAGATTGAATGGAAGAAACCCTGTGAAACCATTTAGAAAGGTCAATTTTGACTCTTAATTCAATAGAAGATCTGTATTAAACTTCCCAAAAATTGATTGAATCTTAGGCTGAGAGTTTATTCTTAGTGTTTAACACATGTCTTGCCTTGTTCAAGGCAGAGACTTAGTTTTGATATGTCAAGTTTTGTATTTTATGGAGAAATGGTGATTTTGTTTCTCACTAGGTTATCTCAAGCAAATCAGCTGATTCAATCTCTCTTGGCCTAGCAGTCCTGGTTGCTTTGGTGTGTTAGATGCAGAAAGTTTTGAATGTCCCTTCGGCATTTTGACTTTGTGAAATGGTGGAAGAGGACATTGTCAATGAGTTTTGAGTTATTTTGTTGGAAAGAAAAATGGGTTAGGATATCAAATTTTGTACAGAATAGATTCCAAGGCAATTGAATTTTTTATGAGATAAGCGCAACACATGAGAAATTATTTAAATTTTGTAACATATTTATCTCAAATTAAATCTATCGCCATTGACATCCATTCTCATTAAAAAACTGGGCATTACATATATGCCACCCAATTCCTATGTTTTTACATATCAAACACCCAAACTTTACTATTTACATTTATACCATTCAAATCTTTCTCATCACATCAAAAATACTACCATTTTAACTTTTAAAATGTGAAATATTCCTTTTCATGCATTGGCAAGGTCTTATGCATGTAAAATTGAAGCTCCTGTGTTAATTATGTAAACTCATAGGAATTGAGTGGTATTTATGTAAATCTTCCTAAAATTAGTCAAGATATCTTGGGCCATTTTTTTTCTAAAGACAATGAGACCTATTCTCTCTGAAAATTTAGTCCTAATATCTAGGTCCTTTTTTTTTATTTTTTATTTATCTTATTGATGTACTACCATCCAACCTCTAAATTTCCAGCTTGATATATCAGTTGAATTTCACCACAAAAATTTATTTCCAAGCAAGCCAAATTTACAGATCTAAATTAATATTGTTATAAATTTTTGTTCTGCCATTGCAAATATTTAGGTTATTAGTTTTAACAATGTGCAGCGAAAACGCCATTCTTCTTGAGGAGAAGGAGAATGTGGAAAAAGAGTTGCGCAAACAAACCATTTTAGAAGCAGAGGCGTACAAGAAGACTTACCACGAGAAGCGGAAGTTGACTTCCGAAACAAATAGGGCTCAAAACAGAGAAAAAGAGAAGGTAATCATGGCTAAACTCTTTCTAAACACAACTTTTTCTACCCGACCACTGTGTTAGCTCCAAGTGGCCTGTTCTTCTCCATGCAATTACACGAACAACACTCAAATCTTACTTATTTATAAAACTAGCATTCAGTGACCTTTATTTATAATTATATCACTCAAATCTTGAAGAGCACAACAAAAGATCCTAATCAGTAATTCTTGTCTTCATTAAATTTTCAGTGATTTGATTGCACGAGCAAATGCATTGATCCAACAGTTAATTTTAAAGTCAAGGTCTAATTTTACAAATAGACCACATTTTTTTTTATGTATTTACATATCCAACATGCAAAGTTTAATAATTACACTTAGAACATCTTGGTGAGTTGGTATCATGAACCTCTTCATGAAAATGTATATTTCACTTTTAAAAAGGTTGTAATGGTGTTATTTTAGATGTGATGTTAAAGTTTTGAGTGTAGTTTTTTATCTTATGTTTTGTCCAACAGCTTTTCCTAGCGAATCAGGAGAAATTCCATGCGACTGCTGATAAGCAGTGCTGGAAAGCTATTTCCGAGCTCATTCCGAATGAGGTGCCGAACATCAAGAAGAGAGGGAAGGAGGAGGCAGAGAAGAAGCCCTCCATTTTAGTGATTCAAGGACCAAAGCCTGGTAAGCCAACTGACCTCTCCAGGATGCGACAGTTGCTTCTGAAACTGAAGCATAATACGCCTCCTCACTTGGAGACGAAAGCTCCAGTTCCAGATCCAGCTCCAGCTGCTGAAGCAAATTTTAAAGCTCCCAAGGAAGTAGTAGTTATAGCTTAAGAGGTACGGTTTGTTTTGATCAATAGTTTTATCTCATCATTTAAGTTGCTTTTAATGCTATTATATGAGGTTGTGATTTTGGCTGTACTCTGTGGTCCGAGTTTGTTTTTGAGTTCTGCTGTTTTATCAAGTGGACGGATGTGTTATCCTCTGTTATGTTCAGTATCTTTAGTGCTATTTGAGAATGTTTTAAATAATTATCTGCCCATTATTATGATTGGCTTTTTACTTCTTGTTTGAAGTTTTAAGTTATGTGATGCAGTATGTTTTGGATGCGGATTAAATGGTTTACAGATTTGTGCACGACATGTAATTTTAGTGGATATGAAAGTGAGGATTAATTTTAATTTTATTTGCATATAGAAGGATATATATAAATGATGGGTTCAAGGCTTGTTTAAGTTATTATGTAGGAGAACGTGATTAAGTTAAATTGAAATCTTTCACTGCAGTAGAAAGATATTAATGCATAGATTTTTTCGAAATTATTATTCAAATAATTAGGCGATACAGATCATTATAATATTAGTTTTACTTTTTAATTTTTTAATTTTTAATTTTTTAATTTTATGTTGTGTAGGTTAGTATAAAAATTTAAGAAATGGATATTTCAACATTCAGGAATTATGTTGCTTGTATGTAAATTTTCCTTTATACACATTATGAAACATGTTTATGTATGTATGTATGTATGTATGTATGTA